GAAAAAGTCTGGATTGGACACTACAATTTTATATAAAACACAAGGATTATACTGTAATCAAAATGTCATATTTCTTCAAATATAGAGGGTCATGTGTTTTAAATAAAGCCACAAGATTCTTTCTAAAAGCAAATCGGTCCAGTCCCCAGCCAATTCAGAATATATATGTAAGTCAAGCCAAATTAATAAGAGAAAACAGTTCCACAATGACCCCTAATCCTATTAACAGAATTGTCACTCTAGGTTAGTCATTGAAGAATAATGTGCCCCTGCTGAGCTATACGATTTAGTTACACCTGGTGTTTGTCTGCTGTGTTGAGAGCATCATTCATTTTGAATAAAGATGAATATAGAAGAAACTCTTCATAGAGGGATCTTTAAACAGTCACATTGAAAGCTCCATTAGAATTGAACTAAAAAGTTGCTTCCTAAAGAAATAATAAAAAAGATTCTTGAAGCTTCTTTGTAGCCTCTTTCAGATTAGAGCTCTTGGGATTGCTCAGCAGGGTCTGAGATTCAGAACCTTCCTGCTTTGCAGCAGCTGTTTCTGGTGTCCTGGAAGCCACCCAGTCTTCTTTCCCTCCTCACTCTGCCCCGGTTCCATTTGCTCCTCCTCCTGGGGTCTTTTAAAGAGCAGTGAACTGAATGTCCAGAGGGACGTGAGGACAGAACGAAAGCATTTTGGGGACTAGTATATGTGTGTTCTGCAGCCACAGTTCCAGTGTGTGTTCCCCAGCCAGTCCCCTTTCTCTCTTAGTCCCCAAGCCATCCTCCCTGTAAGGCAGGTGGAGATCACTTCCCCTCCACATGTGGGAATTCCAGCTCAGACAGGGAAAGAGGCTTCTAAGATCACACAGCCTGTAGACAGCAAAGCAGAACCCGACCCTATAGGATGAGTTCCCCAGCTAGGCCATTCTGATAGTCATGCTGGGTTGACAAGGGAATCATATTCCTTACATGTCTTCATCACTCGGGGTCTTGGTTTCCTTAACTGTAAATGAGAAGCTTGGATAAGTGAGCTCTAGGAGCTTCTTGACTCCTTTTAAGAAACACATGCAAGATATGCATAGTTGGTGCCCAGAAATTCCCCTTCCATGCAGTCCTTAAATCAACATTTAAAACTGGTGCCTTGCCAGGTACAGTAGCTCATGCTTGAGATCCCAGGTACTCAGGAGGCTGAGGCAGAAAGATCACAAGTTTAAGGCCAGCCCTGGCAACTTCGCAAGACCCTGTCTCAAAAATTTAAAAGGTGGGGGGTGGGGCTGGGGATGTGACTTAGTGGTAGTGCATTTGCCCAGCATATGTGAACCCCTAGGAGGTTCAATCCCAGTACAAAAAAAAAAAAAAAAAAAAAAAAAAAAAAAAAAAAAAAAAAAAAAAAAAAAACACAAGAAGAAGAAGAAAACGAAAATTGCAAAAAGAAAAAGTTTTTGGCTGATTATTCAAAAAGATAAATCCATGGCATTTGTCCTTTTCTGAGTGGGTTGGGGACATGACTGGTAACTAAGAGGAAGGACAGCAATAGGAGCAGCAGAAGGAGCAGTCAACAAGCCCAACATGGGCCAAGCCACACACTGGAATCAACTGGAAAACTTTTCAGGGTGGCACCTTACTCAGAACCAGGACAAAGAGAAGTGACTTGTGACAATTGACTGCTGAAGGCAATGACCACATAAACATGTAGACAGCGGCTCTCAGGAGCACCGACCCAGAAAACAGCATGCTCCCGAGAGTACACTGAGTTGTTCACCTGAGGAGTTGGGTAGGGGCCACAGGGCAGGTCTCTGAGGCCTGTCCCAGTAAAGGATGGAGCCATGACTAAGAAATCTGCAGGCCAGGACCTCAGCCAGAGACACCTGTCAATCCTCATGCCCCACTACCCTGAGAGATTAGGATGGGCCTGGCTAGGGAACTGGAGGGCGTGGCTGGCTGGCTAGCTTCTCCTCCAATTGAGGGCCTAGCGCCAAAAGTGAAAAGAATGTTTGCTCTGTGAGGAAAACAGCCTGTGGGGTGAAGATGGGAGTCGTCCCTAGAACAGAGGTGGGGTGGGCAAGACAGCAAGTCCTCCTGGTGGGTCTTAACCCCCACCAGCAGGATTATCCAAAGCAAATTCCCCACCCACCTCTGAAGATCATCACTTCTTTGGGGAGCTCCTATCAGTTGAATGCTTAACAGGTTGCAAATAACTCAATTATCATCTAATTGATCCTCTAAGATTCTAAGGCATACAATACAAGTCTCAACTTATAGACAAAGAAATAATATTCAGAGAGGTTGGGTAAGGTGCCTCAGGTCCCACAGCCTAAAGTAGTAGAGTTAATGTTCTCACTCAAGTACTATGACTCAAGCCAGTGCCCTTAGCTCTAGGCAGTTCTGCCCCAATGGGTGTAGAAAAACAGAAGATAGCTATGAAAACAAGTACTTTAAGGAAAGTGAAACAGTACTTACATATTTGCCTTGTATTAAGATTGTTACAACTCCCTAAATCACTGCACAAATAGGTTTTGTCTTTATCTCCATCCAGAAGATCTGCTAGATGTTGAGACAGAAAGGAGAGCAAGCTGCAGCTGGTCTTTAAGAAATGTAGAGCAGTGGGTCTCAGACCTGGGCAACACCAGAATTACTGCGAGGGCTGGCTAGGTTGAGCTCAGCCCACCCAGAATTTCTGAACCAGCAGGACAGTATAGGGCTTGAGAACATGGGAAGCTAGCAAGGGCCCAAATATGCTGATGCTGCTGGCTCAGGGATCCCTCTTTGGTAGAAATTGGGGCAATTAAGATCCCTAGTTTGAGTTGTAAAGAAAACTGGAATCTCAATGTTTGATCTTCCTGGGAAAGTAGCATTTGGAGAAAATAAACCCCAGAGTTCCCCTTGAAGAAAGACAGCATTCCAAAGCTTCTCTGGAGGCAGCAGGGTGCTCAGGAGTGGCTTTGCTAAGGTCTCTCTTGGAGTAGGAGAAAGGAGAGCCTGGTCTCTGGTGAGCAGAGAAGGCCGGGGCTTTCATCAGCCCTCCACCTGCCTGAACCTCCAGGCCCACAGCTGTCACTCTGTCCAGGGTCAACCCTGGTGCCATGCACAGGGATCCCACTACCAACCAGAGGGCGGTACCAGAATTCCCAGGGTGGTCTTTTCAAATCATTACATTTGACTTGGGGATGCACCAGAGAGGGCAGATATCTTCATTATACAAACTGAGCAAAGGACCCAGTAAAGTCTTCTTTTCCCACCCCTCCTACAGAAATACCCACAGAATGATCAGCCAGGAAAGCAGCCACTAGGATAGATAAATAAAAAATAAACAGAAATGCAAGATTGGCTGGGAGCCCCTGGAGATTAACTAATTAAATCCACAACAGTTGGATGAGGAACTAATTAATCCGTTAAGCACTTGAAGGGTCTGAGGCCTCAGCTAAGTGCAGGGAGAGAGAATACACACACAGGTCTCCTGAGGTCTTCAGGGAGGCTGAGTAAGGATCATCACCCTCTAGGGGTGCATCAGGAATCCGCCTCCCCAGCTGGAGCCACTCTGCTGGGGACCCTCATAAAGGAGAGCTCTGGGGAAAGTTTGTCAGGCTCCACCTCACCAACCGTCAGCTAGAGAAATAAGGAGACACCAAGGGCAAAAGATCTTGGCCTTCAGGTCCCTCCAGCTGGCTTTACACATGGGGGATGCCACAGGAACCTAGAATCAGCTCATGTTTTTTTCTGGTCATTTCTCTTCACATCCAGGCAAGGGGCATTCTGATCTTCTCTGGGTGTTGGCTTCCACCTGGGAACTCAATGGATGCTTCGGTCTTCTGTAAATCAAAATCAGTGATCTGGTTAAGATGATCCTTTTACCTTTACGTGATTTCAGGAACTTTGTTTACAAATGTGTGGCTTGTCACAACCTACAGAGGTGGGCCCTATTGTAGGGTTTTTTTTTCCCCCTATCTTTATCTTTTCTGATACCATTTAATTTTCTGTAGTACTGAAACCCAGTTCACCTCCTGTTACAATCTGATCTCCAAAAATTTTTGAGAGCCACCACCTGGGAACATTAGCTACTACAGCCCTTTCCACAGGATGTATTTCTTTACATTATTCTCTCATTAGGAAATGGTGGGCTGTATAGTCTAAGTACAAAGAAATCCCAGTGACCAGGCAGCATGTACTAGGAAACCCATTTTGTGGCTGAAACAAAAACCCATTTTGTCTCTGGGCAACCTGTTGCTAGTGCCACCATACAGTGTGCCAACTGGAGCCTGGGTCCTCATGCTTCCCTTAACACACGTACTGTGTGCCAAACCGAGACCCAGACACTAACTGGGTAAATTTGTGTTTGACATGATGCTGAGTCCCCAGAGAGCTCACAGAAGAAAAAGAAGAGGAATGGTTAAGCAGAACTTGTCACTCTAGCATGACGAGTTAAAATCATGAAGCCCTGTCCAGTCACTGTCAACCCAAACCCCATTCCCTAGAGTGGATCAGTCAGGACCCTGGGATCAGCCAGCATGAGGCTGGCAGGCTCTGCAAAACTTGCAAAGCTGCCCTGCAGGGGAGACGGGGTGACTGTCCCAGCTTCAATGTGCATCAGCATTGCAGAAAGGGCTTCCTGACACCCAGGCCATGGGGATGGGGTGGGGGGCAGCACCCAAATTTCTTACCCAGTAGTTCTGAGGTGGGCCAGAGGATTTCTTTCTAACAGGCTCCTAGAGGATGCTAATGTCATTTGTCCATTTGACCACAGTTGGAGAACTAACAGGTTAGAAGGGTGTGGTCAGCCTGAGGTGCAGCAAAGGAGGAATCTCCAAACCCAGGACTCTGGCCTCACTGGCTGCCACCAGGACAAGGCTATGATGTGTGGCACCAAACATGTCATTAGCTTCGTTCAATCTCAATAGATCTTTATTTTCCAGCTGCTTTTACGTGTTATTTATTTTTTCATTTATTTACAGTTAGTTAATTAATTGGTTGATTTTAGAGTTATTTCTGTGTGTGTGTATTTATTTTTCACCTAGAGTGAAACGGATGAGACTCAAATCCAGATGGCTGGGGATGATGTGGATTTACCTGAAGATCTTCGGAAAATGGTAGATGAAGATCAAGAAGAGGAAGAAGATAAGGATTCTATTCTTGGGCAGTTACAGAATCTCCAAAACATGGACTTGGATACCATAAAGGAAAAGGCCCAGGCCACCTTCATGGAAATCAGGCAGTCAGCGGAGCAGAAATGTTCTGTGATGTGAGGGGCAGGTGGGTTAGGAGAGGGAAACAGCCACCAGCAGGAAGACCTGGTTCCTGGGGGACACTTTGGGCAGCATGTATTCTAATGTAGTGAACACCATCAGCAAAACCATGATGATAATGGTGTCTATAAACACACAGACAATAATTTGGTTATTCTAAATGTTTCTGGAAGAGCATCTAGCTAGCCCCTGCAGCAGGAAACATACTTTCCTTTTAGTTACAGGTGTAACTATGAAATTTCAACCATAAATCATGATGCAGAGCACATATCTGCCTAAAGATCTTTAGGACAACCAGGAAGAAATAAACAAAAGCACATGGCATTTCCTCTCGAGCTCTCTTCCTCAGAGGGCAGCATCTCACTGTATGTAACCATCGGCAGAATATCAGGTCCTACAGACAAAGATGTGGAGGGGTGGGGGTGTCCACCAGGAGCCACAGGCTCAGGCTCCAGGGCAATCGGAGGTTACATCACCTTGTGCTCTCTGCTTCTTAATGACGATGATGAGGCTAATCATATTTGGCTCTTGGACACTTCTTAACCGAAGGACAGTAGTGGAAATGTGGTCAAAGATGAGAAATGGAGCTGGAGAATTGACTTCTCCAGCACTATGATTGGACATCATCACTACTCTGTCTGGCTTGAGGGAAGTAAAGGGAGAAGAAGAAGGACCACTAGGAAGGCTATTGCTATTTATGAGATGAATATAACTCCTCTTATTCGAACTTGGTAATAGCAATGAGAACAAAGGGGGGTGTGGTGGCACTGGCTTCTAACCCCTGCACTCAGGAGGCTGAGAGGATCGCTCTTGAGTTTGAGGCCACCTGGGCCTCATAGTGAGTTCAAGGCAAGCCTGAACTACAAAGTGACACCTGTCTCAAAAACACAAAAAAGAAACAACAAAGAAGTTAAATCAAGCTTTCTTTGTCTCTGTGTTCCCTCTCTACTTTTTCTCCTTTCCTACTCTCCTTGTATTTCCCTTCTTTCTACCTCTCCCCTACTTTCCTCTCCTATCTTACCCAATCTCACCACCTTCCAACAAATCACACTGGCATTCTATGCTACAGTCTTTTATCATAGACACCAATGTCTTTTTCCTAACAACTGTTCTTCCTCAGAGAATGATTCAAAAGACTCGGTAGATTTGCCCATGAAACATTTAGAGTTGTTTAACCAATACCTGTCAAACCGAAGCAAAATTCTGCTTTTCCAGAGAAACTAGTCATAGAATTAATAATATGCAATGACATTTTTTTTCATGAAGAACTGCTCTATTAGAGGAAGAGGGAACTAAGACCAAAAAGCCAGGGTGAACATGTTCTATACCCAGAGTTCCTGAATATGTTAGATAAGAAGCTGCTTCATGTTATGAAAATATGCAAATGGCACACATTTTTACAGCTCCAGATCCTGAGTTCTCGGTGACATTTAGCCCATGTTGGAAGTTCCTGGAGAACATTGGTGCAAGTTTGAGGTTGATCAATCTCACAATCCAGAAAGCCTAACATCCTTAGGTATATTTTAAGATCACATTTGTCTTCTGTCAGAACTGGCCTGTGAGTTGTGATTTCTTTTATAGATAAAACTTTAAAATACTGGCTGCTTTTAAGACTAGAAAAAAATAGGTAAGAGTTGTACTCAGTTTGATGCCCACCTCTTTCTTGTTGTTGATGGGGTGGGTGGGATGAGTGGGTGAATGGTTGTTGCTGCATGGGCCCTGTGTTTATCCATTTTGTAATGACATATAATGCTATGGCTGTCAAATTATTCCACCAACCATTTACGGAGTGACACAGAAGACTTGCTTTCTTACAGAAGATGTATGGTGGTACATGCCTGTGATCCCAGCACTTAGGAGGCTGATGAAAGAGGATTGCTGTGAGTTCAAGGCTAGCCTGGCCTACATAGTGAGTACTTCAAGTCCACCTTGAATTACAAAGCAAGGCCCTGTCTCAAAAAAAAAAAAAAAAAAAAAAAAAAAAAAAGATGCAGCCAACATTGCCAAAGAAATCACTACAGCAGCACTCCATAATTGCAACCCAAATGACTATAATATCTGTTCACTAACCCTATGGAGCTACATAGCTGCCAAAAGACTGTGGCCATGATTTCTTACATATCACAAATTTCCACACCATAATACTACACTATACCACAGCACACTCCATAAGCCCATAACATAGCTCATTGAGTCACACCTTTCTATACCATACCACCCCACAGAGAACACCACATTACATCCCACTATAGCATATTACCTCATGACTCACACCCCAGCCACATCACCCCTCACCACTTCACAGTGCAGCCCACTAGGCCATACCAAATCCCTGATCAATCCCAAATCCCATGAGTATCAGGCTGGGACAAGGACAGTGGTGTCTTAGGGTATTCAGAGACTCCTCTTCCCTCTAAAGGATAGATAAGTACTATATATGTGCCTCGTTATGCTGATTGGAGTAGAAAAGTCTTCCATCATCAAAACAGAGAATTCTGGGGTCAGGGATTTAGCTCTGTGGCACCGTGCCTCCCTGGCAAGCACAAGGTCCTGAGTTCAATTCCCTGTACCAGAGAACAAAACAAAACAGAGAATCCAACAATTTTAAACAACTAGAAGGAAATTTATCCCAATTCACATCTACTAAAGGAATTCCTTCCAAGTTGTCTCTGTTGAGCCCCTAGTAGTACAGAATTTATCCCTGGCTGCTCCAAGAGAACTCAGCCACAGCCTTTCCATTTGCAGGTATCTCTAATTGTTAGAAAATCCTCCCTTGTCCAAAGCTGAAATTAACTACACCTTCAGCCATTTGCCATGGCTCTGTTGTATGGGGTTACACAGACTACGCCTGAGTTCCCTCCATGATGTCCCCACTCGGTTTTCTCTCTTTCAGGTAAGACGTCCTTCTTTCAATCAGTTCTCATCATACAGTATTGACCCTGTTACCCACTAGGTAACCATGCTGTCACTGTCTACTCCGACTGGCACCATCTCTAGGAGTGAAGCTAGCCATGTAGCACAGTGCAACCCTGTCCATGCCCTGCCACTAGACTCACACTTGGAGCCATTCCTGAGTCCACTCATGATCAGGAAGTGAAATTTTAGCCCCAACTTCACTACAGCATTCCCCAAACAGGTCATTTATCCTCTCTGAAATTTCTTATTTAAGTAGGAAAAGTGAAGGAATTGGATTGCTTTACATTCTGTTATTCATTCTATGGTTTCAGGGTAATTAATATCAGATGGTGAATTAACTTGTGAAAGAGAGCACACGAACCCATTGTCACTGTTGCAAAACTAGACTTCAGTTCCTTTACCAACTCCTTCTGAGCAAAGGGACAACAGTCCCCAGGAGTAAGGAGAGACAGCTTTGATAGTTGTTACTACAGGGGAGAAAATGTAGAGATCAGGGAACATTTCCTTTCAGGCAGAAAGAACCACAAAAGAACACTGGGGAGAGATGATGAAAAGTAAGTACCAAGAAGACAAAGTAAATGGCCTTTCCAATTTTGCCTTGAGTTAGCCTAGTCTCAATTAGATGTGGACTCCCACAGCATAATGAATCAGGAGCTTTACTTCTGAAAGAATATTGACATAGTGAGCTTAATTAGTTAGAAGCCAACTAATCCAGTTTGTGTGTTATATAAGCTCTTCTGTTTTGCTCTTGGCCCTAGAAATTTGGCCAAATTAACACTTACAAACAGGACCATTGAAGACAGGGAGAAGAATGAGGTTTAAAAAAAATGAGCAAACTGATGCTTCTAGCTTCTGATAATAGAGGGCTGGCTCCCTATTATAATAGAGGACAACTATAACTGCAGACAACTATAAACTCTGGACAAAATGCAAAGCAACAGCTGCCTGAAGGCATTGGAACTTTCTACTGAGAAAAACTGAGTCTACACTAGAGAGGAATCAAATCTAGACTTAGGAGAGGGAGAAGCACTGGTACATTTTCCTTTGTTTCTATATTTCATTTGAAGGAAGAACCTAGTTGAAAGTAACTAAAATTCAGATAGAAAATCTGCAGCCTTTCTGACTTGAAGAATCAGCAGCTTTTGAGGTGACCATTGCAACTGTATGATGAAAGAGCAACTCCTAGAAAGAACAAGCCATAAGAGGGAGTTCTAAATCATTCATTTAAAGTTCATTCAAAACACTGGCTAATTGGTGATCTATGTGTGTATCAGGTAGATCCTGACCAGTCCTGTAAGGTTGCACAAACTGAGCTAAATATTCTGTTGCTGCCCACTTAGGAGAAGCACAGTTTAGAATTTGAATCTATCCAAGTTTGCTGATGGCCAAACAAATAAGCAAATTTGAGTAATTTTCATAAAAATATACCAGAACTCAGCAAAGCAAGTGGAAAGAAGGCAACAATGAAGGGTAAGAATGAATGAAATAGAGAACAAGCAATAAAAAAAAAAATTTTAAGAAGTAAAAAAAGTTGATTCTTTAAAAAATTAACAAAATTGAGCTAGGCTGCTTAAGAACAAAAAAGACTACTCCAATTACAATTGTCAAAAATCAAAAAATGACATCACAGATCTTATAGGCACTAAAAGACAATAAGAGAATGTTACAGGGAAATTTATGCCAATAAATTTGACAATTTTCAAATTCCTTGATAAAAATATACTTCACAAATACTAATTCAAGCTAAACAGGATAACCCTATATCTTTAAAAAAGAAAATAGAAATAATTCTCCAAACACTCCCCACAAAAACAAAGAAAAACTCCAGGCCTAGATGGCTGTGCTAGGTTTTTTGGAATTTTTTAATAGTAAACTCTATCAAATAATTAAAGAAGACATAAAAACTATTCCAGAAAATAGGGAAGAAGTTCTTTCCAATGCATTTTTTGGAACAAATACATAATTGGGACACTAAAACCTGGCATAAATATTATAAAACAGAAAATTGCAGGTCAATATTCCTTGTTGAACATAGATGAAAAAAATCTTTCACAACAAATGGCAAATAAAATACAGCAATATAGAAAAAGAATAATATATCATCAACAGGTGAAGTTTGTCTTATAAAGTCAAGATTAGTCTAACAAAGGTCAATGAATATAATCAATCACATTAACAAAACAAAGGAGAATACCCATAAAATTGTTTAACAGAAAAGGCATATGTCAAAAGCCAACATCCACTGAGGATGAAAAATAAAACTCCCAGAAAACTAGGATTATTAGGAAATGTAATCAACTTGGTAAAGGGGTCTATTTTTTAAAAAAAGAACAACAGCTAATA